TTTATTTCTTCGCGAATCGTTGTCATTTTAAGGTTAAAGTGAATCTCTTCGTTTGCTGTGTGCAGGTCAGAATTGGTTATTAGCCTCAGAATTTTGGACGGTAGCCGTTGAATTTTGTGGGTTGTTCTCGCCGTTCCCAAAATCTGATGATCATATAGCCATATTGGTATAATTATGTTCTTTTAGAGCAGTAACTTGTTTTCAGGGGTTACTTTTGGCTGTTTCCCCATTAGCCAGTGTAGTTGGCTTAGTTTTTATACCCGAGCGCACTTGTGCACAAGGGTATTATAACTTTGTTCACATAACGGTTGTTTGTAACAGGCAAAACGAATCGAGATAGATATAGACAAATGTATACATAAATGGTCAGAATGAAAAGAGAAATCGATTAAGCGGTGACTGTCTGTCCATCCGTCCGTCCGTCCGTCCGTCTGTGCACACGATAACTCGAGTAAAAATTGAGATATCTTAACAAAACTTGGTATGTGCATTTCTTTCGGGCGTAGGACGGATGATATTGAAAATGGGCAAAATCGGACAATAACCACGCCTACCTCCCATATAACGGTAATTTTCGGAAATACGAAAACTGCGATATTTTAGTAACTACTGAAGATTATTCACTCAAAATTGATATTTACTATAATTTTTAGACGAAAAATAAGAATATTATAAACTTTTGGAAAATGGGCGTAGCCACGCCCACTTATGGATACATGTGTATATCTTGGTAACAGCTGCGCCAATTTCTTCCAAACTTGGCACAGTTATTAGTCCTGCTACAGAATACCAAATGGCCGAAAATTTTTAAAATTGGACCGCCTACCTCCCATATAACGGTAATTTGGAGAAATACGAAATCTTCGATAAATCAATAAATATTAAAGCTAATTTACTCAAAATTGATGCTTGCAACAATTCTTTACCAAGAAATACGTTTATGAAAAAATTTTGGAAAATGGGCGTGGCACCGCCCACTTATGATCACATATATGTATCTCGGTAACCGTTCTACCAATTTGTACCAAACTCGGTATGATTATTGTGCTTGCCACATACACGCAAAAGGTTGAAAATTATTGGAATCAGATTCAAATTACGACCACTTTTCATATAACGGAAAATTTCAGAAATGCTTGAAACTTCAATATTTCGAAATTTAAGAACGCTAATTTACTCAAAATTGATACATCCCGTCTTACCATGTAGCGGTAGCTTTCGCAAAGGTGAAAATCATATACTTAGTACCTGCGCCGGGTATTTAATGTTCGGCTCCGCCCGAACTTAGACTTTGTTACTTGTTATTTTATATGTTTAACTTTCTGCTTCATGTAAAAACCACAGTTTAGTTTAGAGTCCATGTGTATTCCAAGGTACTTTGCGGTTTTTTATACCCGAGCGCACTTGTTCACATAACGGTTGTTTGTAACAGGCAAAACGATAGATAGATGTAGAAAAATGTATACATAAATGATCAGGATGAAAAGAGAAATCGATTAAGCGGTGACTGTCTGTCCGTCCGTCCGTCTGTGCACACGATAACTCGAGTAAAAATTAAGATATCGTAACGAAACTGGGTAGTGTACTTATTTCGGGCGTAGGACGGATGGTATTGAAAATGGGCAAAATCGGACAATAACCACGCCTACCTCCCATATAACGGTAATTTTCAGAAATACGAAATCTGCGATATTTTAGTAACTACTGAAGATTATTCACTCAAAATTGATACTTACAATAATTTTTAGACGAAAAATAAGATTATTATAAATTTTTGAAAAAAGGGCGTAGCCACGCCCACTTATGGTTACATGTGTATATCTTGGCAACCGCTGCACCGATTTCTTCCAAACTTGGCACAGTTGTTGGCCTTGGTACACCATACCAAATTTTAAAATCGGACAATAACTACGCCCACGTCCCATATAACGGTAATTTAGAGAAATACGAAATCTCCGGTAAAATAGTAAATATTAAAGCTAATTTAATCGGACTAAAATTACCGCTTCTTATATAACTGTAAATTTTAGAAATGCTTGAAACTTCAATATTTCGAAATTTAAGGACGCTAGTTTAATCAAAATTTATATACCCTAGCTTACCATGTAGCGGTAGCTTTCGGAAAGGTGGAAAACATATATTTAATATTTGCGCCGGGTATTTAATGTTCGGCTCCGCCCGAACTTAAACTTTCTTACTTGTTTAATTTTAATATCCTTTCCGTTGATTTTAATTGGAATTGAATCAAGTTTTATCTTGGTGGAAAAAATTACTCGTGTAGTTTTATCCTCCTTTATATTTAAGCACCATCTGTCAAACCATTCCTTTAATAAATCGGTGTAAGATTGAAGTCTAGGGGCTGGGTTCTCCAACTCAACTTAACTTAGTTTAGCCAATGTTTTGGACTTACTTAGTCAAGAATAAGCTGAATAAAAAGAAGGCTAACTTTTGACTTAAGTCCAAAAAATGGCTAAACTAAGTTAAGTTGAGTTGCAGAAATCAGCCCGAGATGTTGCTACTGTAAGGCTCCTGTCTGATGATACTTAGAGCCATTTTCACAGTGAATAGTTAACAGTTGGTTGATTATCAGTTAATGTAACCAACAGCTGTTAGTTAACTAATACTATGTCTCCATTGTGAGATTTATTGAAGATTTAGCCCTCTGACGAGATTTGACGTTAAATCTTTTGAGATTTATCATATAAAATTAAATCTCGAAAGGCCGTAGATTTAAGTTAAATCTTCGTCAAATCTTCAATAATATTGATCAATAAGTACAATTTGTTGGATGTGGCAACCACAAATTCACATGCCATAAGTCAAATGACATTTGTGTTTTCAATATACAGTTGAGGACATTGAAATCTAGCCTATCATAAAAACATGAATTTTCGTATTTTTAGGGATTTTTATATTTTTTTGTTAGTTTGGGAGGAAAATTAGTAATAACAAGTAAGAGCAGCGCTGTCTTCGGCTATGCCGAAGGCTTCATACCTTTCATGAACATCTGCAAATTTTACTTTGACAGATTACTGCTTTTGAGTACATCTGCATACATCGATAGAGGAGTTACATACCTATATAAAAAATCGCATCTGAACAAACAGAGGTATGGAAGATATACCTTATATTAGCACCAATCTAAGTGATTTTCACTGCTATGTGATCGGTATGTAAACCGACACAATTTATTGGGTTTAGTTTCCTACATAAAGGAGATATATCGCAAAAACTGGTATCTGAACAATCAGTGCTATAGGAGATAAAGCTTATACAGCATAGATTTTGACGATTTTCTCAGTAGACTTTGTATTATTATTTATAAAATATCTTACGAAATTTATCGGTTTTAGCAGTTCAAATAAAGGAGTTTTACAGTAAAATCCCATATCTGAACAATCAGATGTATGGAAGATATATGTTGTAGTCACCCGATCCTTGTTATTTTCACTGTAAGTATTCTGTTAATAATGAGTGAAAATGGTGCGAAATTTCATGTTCCTAGCTGCATAAATGCATGAATTATAACGAAAAATCTCATATCTGAACAATCAGTTGTATGGGAGCTATAGGTTATAGTTATCCGATCTTTTTAATTTTCACTGTACGTTTTCTGTTGATAATTATTGAAAACAGTGCGGAATTTCCTGTTCGTAGCTGCATAAATGTAGAAGTTATAACGAAAAATCTCATATCTGAACAATCAGTTGTATGGGAGCTATAGGTTATAGTGACCCGATCTTTGTAATTTCCACTGTTGATAATAGGTGCAAGTACTGCAAAATTTCATGTTCCTAGCTGCATAAATGGAGAAGTTATAACGAAAAATCTCATATCTGAACAATCAGTTGTATGGGAGCTATATGTTATAGTGGTCCGATTCTTCCGGTTCCGACAAATGATTAATACATTATAAAAATACACCCACTTACCAAATTTGATCCGGATATCTCGAAAACTGAGAGACTAGATTGCATACAAACAGACGGACAGACGGACAGACGGACATGGATAAATCAACTCAGCTCGACGTTCTGATCAAATAAGTATACATTTTAATGGGTCTATCTCTTTTTGTTCTGGTACTTACAAACATCAGACCAAAGTTATAATACCATTTCATGCTCATGAAAGGTATAAATATTTACATAACTTTGGTTGTAATAAATTAAGAAAATATTATTTTAAAAACTAAAAATTTAGAAGAAATGTTTTATAGTAATATCATGCAGAGTCTTCTCCGCTTTCTATAAGTCATTTACGCGCTGCGACAAAAAATTTATAAATTTCGGTAATAGTTCTGCTTCGATAACATTGCACCGAACATCCTCTAGAACTCAGTTCGTATTCATGATATGCCAAAGGCCCACGATTGGATTTTCGGTTCCCTCCTATGAATAAGAGAGTTCTACAAAAATTTTTCTTTCCGCAAATGTTTTTTACCGTTTTGATAATTTTTCTTAAATTCGGGAAAATGATTCGGAATATGGTACCATTATTTACACTTTCCAAACTATATATTATACATACATATTTACCACGAATAAGAAGCCAATAATATTCAGAATTCATATAATGAAATTGCGCTTGGTACCTTCCTTTTATCTGTCTGTATATCAATGTCCGCAACTGTATTTGTAAAATCATACATAAGCAAACGTCAAATATTTAAAAATGTGAACGTCAAACATATCTCGTAATGGTAATGGAGACGGTTGTGATTTAGCAACTGGATTTATTAAATCTTAATGGATAAATCTCTCAATGGAGACATAGTGGCTGCATTTCTTTATTCATTCTGAACGTTTGGAATAAACTTTTTTGTTTATTTATTCTTTAGAACGTTCCTGATGATATGTTCACGTATATTTCAAACGCATTCTGTTTATTCCGGCTGTGAAATTGGATTATCCGGAATGTATAAAGAAACGCAGCCAGTATAAAGCAATGTATTTCACAGTGCTTAGATATAAAAATAAATTTTGTTACTGAAAGTCAGGTAGCGCCAGGGAAAACATTTGACATTGACATTACAGATTTATAAACCATTGAAGTTTTTTGATTCATATTATTAATTGGTAATAAACATATTCTAAATGGCGGCGAAAAAGATTAGATTAAAATGTGATACAGTGCAAGAAAAGCGATGCTTTTACGGTGGAAATCAAGAATAAGGTTTGGGCAAAGATTAAGGACGAACACAATAGCAGAACCGCTTCTTCATTTCGTGATGAAAAAATGTTTCGTACAAAGTATTATAATTTGAAAAAAGATTTAAAGAAAAAAGTAGCAGCCGAAAAAAGAAGTTGCATTGCAACAGGAGGCGGACCACCATTGAAAATTAGCACCAATGATATTGATGCGATGTTAACATCAATAATGGGATCGGAGCAGTTAGAAGGAATGGAATCTGTTTACGATTGGTATAATCAATTTGTACAAAACAAGCAGGACGCTGTTGACGTTGACAATGGTAAGAAGTTACTCTATAAGCAGTCTATAAGAGTCTATACATGTATAAATTTTTTGTTAGGGTCTTGTTCTGCTCTTGAATTGATGAGGTTTAATTGCCAATATTAATCGCAGAATGCTGTTACACAAACTCAGTCATTTACTTATATAAATTGTTTTGCAGATAAGACCGTAAACAACATGAATATTGGGCATTCTCAGGATGGTAGCGAGGTTTTAGATGAAAACGTAGACATCAGCATAACAGCAAACAAAACAACTACTTCAAAAAATTGGAGTACATACACGCCTGCAAATTTAAAAACTCCTAAAAGCAAAGAACTTAAGATCAACAAGTCGCAAAGCAATGTGAAGAACACATCCTGGTCGAAACTGGCAGCTTTTAAATCAAACTGGGCCGAAGAAAAATGCCGTGTAGAGCTTGAATTGTTAAAAAAGGAGCATGCAACGCGGACAAAGATGTAGGAGCAGCAGATAGAGCAGTCTGCAGCGGAACATAAAATGCGTATGAGAATTATGGAAGAGCAATTTCAGTAACTTCAATGGCTCAATCCTCAAATGGAAAAAATTGCAAACACAAAATAACTTGACATACATATGCAAAATAAAATTGTTTTAAATAATATTATTGTGCTATTTTTTTATTGAATATCTGGATTTGCACTTATAAGGTTGCAAAGTATCCATTTATTAAATTACTTCTGGTAACATTTTTTTCAATACACCGATCAGAGCTGCGGTTGTTTGGTATACTTAAAAATGTCATGATTTGTCCATAAATTTCAGGATCTAAAGGAGGTGCTTCAGTATCGCGATGTAAACAGCATATATTATGCAAGATTACTGTGGCGACAATTATTGATTGCACTTTTTTGCAATTCATTCGTATACGCAAAGACAATACAGGAAATCTACGTTTCCAGACACCATAAGAGCGTTCAATTGGATTTCTAGACCGAATATGCGATTCGTTATATAATCTTTCGGCTGCAGTGTTAACGGAATGAAGGGGTGTTAAAATCCGCTGATTGTTTTCATATCCTTTATCAGCAAGCACTGGCCCATTTCCGAATTCTCCAGACTCAAGACGGGAAAAAATACAATAGTTCTGTAGTATGGTAGCATCATGTGTAGACCCTGGCCACCTGGCTACTAAATATATCCAAAATCATCAAACGAGCATCACAAGTTGTTTGAACATTGAAAGAAAATAAACTTTTTCTATTTCGAAATAGTTCCGCATGGTCTCCGCCTGAGAAATAAGGAAAATACATATTTAATGAAAAATTATCATTAGGCTTTCGTTGTCTTTTAACACACCTGGGGATTGAATTTTTACGTGCGTGCAATCTAAAGCACCAATAACTCTGGGAAATTTAGCTACTCGGAAAAACTCTTTTTGTTTTTGATGTATCTCTTCTTTTGTAGCTATTTTTGGCTATTTTATCTGAAACAAGAGTAACAACTCTTGATACGGTGCTAGTAGACACATCACCAATCAATTGCTGAATACTGCCAGTGGCATAAAACCGCAATGTAATGGCCAGCATATGTTCCGGCGACAATGCATTATTCCTAGGAGAAAACTTAAACTAGAAAATCGGAGAAAGCTTTACCATGTGGTTGTATGCTGTATATCTGAACTTATGAGCTGCAATATCTCGCATGCAGCATCTTTGTACAAGCGGAAACGGTTTATAAAATCTTTTTCATCATACAGTTGGAAGAAATTAAATCGCTCTCGAATTTGTTTTTTTCCGACGAAAAATTACCACTTTCAGCAGCTCTTCGTAATCTTCGTCACTGTCACTAAATTCCATTTTTTCTTCTTTTATCTCAGCTTCACACAAACTTTTATATTTTCAATTTTATTCTGCTTATTTTTCTTTTCATAAAAATAAACAGTTTGACATTGAAACAGCTGTTTGTTAACTAATCGTCAACAAGTTCCCCAGGGAGAGTTAACAAATGGTTAACAATTCACTGTAAAATGAAAACCAATTAGTTACCGCCAACCAATTGTTAACAGTGTTGATATTTTAAGTACAATTGTACTTTTTTCAGTACAATTAGTTTTAAAAAGTACAAAAGTACAATTTACAGATTTTAAGTACAATTTCAACATCAAAAATACTTTGTGTACAAAACGCTGAAATCTCTGCCACTTTGATTATTAATCCGTTTGCGTTTAAGTAAATGGACATACCTACATTTCATATTTGGTACGAAACGAAATTTTGACTGGTAATTTTGAAAGTAAACGTGATTGTGAATGGTAATATTAGTGTCGAGCGTTGTGGCTATTGTGATTTCTTTTTATCACCGGTGGATGAAATATCTGTCACCGCTATTTATTTTGAAAAAATCTTTGGAAATGCAGTTTACCTTATGACGATCCTGCAGAAAATGAAGGAAGTGAATAACTCGGGGGTTGAAAGTAAAAAAGTTGTACGTAAAGTTCATGCGTTGAAACTAAAAATTTCTACTGTGGACTTCCATTTTAGTGTTACTGATCCCATTTTATGTGATTTCTTTACCCTAATATAAACTGATCTATCTTCTGTCTTTATTTTTTGTCATTATTGTTCATATTTGAATATATGTACTTCTCGCGACAAAATTATACGGTTACTCGGGTTGGGCTATTTCTTTATTTTTTTCAGATTAATTTAGATTTTTTTTATATATAATTTTTGGAATATAATTTAAGAATTTATTTGTAGCTTTATCGGGTAGTTGGAGAGATCTCAATGATAAGTTACGTTAAATTAAGTCTACACCAACTTAAGCTGTACAATGAAATGAAAGATAAACTCACTGCAGTAGAAAAAAAGGTGTATGTTTAGTTGAAGGAAAACGGGAGGTATTGCATTGACGGAAATAGTGAAAAGTACAATTAAGCTCAAAAAGTTACAGTTTTTGTCGTTAATTTTGTACAATTTAAAAACCTCAAATATCAATACTGATTGTTAACTATTCACTATGAAAACGGCTCTTAGTAGTATTGTATCGTCAGCAGTGAATATTAAATAGAGAAGTGGTCCCAACACACTTCCTTACGAAAATCCACTGGTTATTGGGTGGACATTGGACAACCAGTCATTGTATTTGACATAAAAAAAAGGTCAATAATATAGCTCCGTATCAGTAGATAGTGATCAAGTAGTAGAATTTTGTATAGCTTATACAATAAGCCTTTATGCCATACTTTGTCAAAAGCCTTAGACACGTCGAGGAAGACAGCAACACTGTGCCGGTTTTCGTCGAAGTTATTTAGTATTCTGTTGGTTTTGCGATACATTTGTTGAATTGTAGAGTGGTTTTTTCTAAACCCAAACTTGTGACTTGGAATAATATTATTGCGATCGAGTAGTTTGCGATGCCTGTGATTTAATCTTTTTGTCTTTTTTGAGACCACTGGTAGCAAACTTATTCGCCTATATGATTTTTATTTCGCCGCAGTTTGGCTTTGCTTGGGAATCGGCATAATTTCTGCAACTTCTGGACAGAACCCTTTCTTTGGCAGTTTCGCTAAGGCCGCCTACGCCGAAAGAAGTTCTGCGCAAAAAACTTCCGCCGCTCTTTTCGGCAATACAGAAAGGAGAATTCTACTTAGTAAGGGTACATACTTAATAAACAATTTTTAGTATCCACATCGTGGAACCTCAGAAAACGTGGCGTTTAGTAAGTAATGATTCTCAGTTATACATATGTTGTAATATTAGATCGCCTCTAGGCGTTCATAAGAAAATAATGCAGGCAAAGCCAGCTTGATAATAGCTGCGGTCCGAAAGACGAATCTGCACAGCAATTCAACATTGTTCAACTGCACCGCATACCCCGTGCACTGTCGAAATGCAAGGCAGATAATGGTGAAGGCTTAGTGTTCATCAAGCATCCCACCGTGTAGTATCGTCTTATCGAAGCAGATATCGACCGCAAGGTTACCATCCTAGAATGCTAGGGCATTGCTATCCGGCCAAGCGATGTCGAGTTTGAAATACTCGAAGTTTGTATACCCCTGTCACCAGGCTCCCGGTAGAATATCACCCTGATATACATAGGTGCTCCTCTCAGAGGTGACAAATGTTTGTTGGTTGGTGACTTTAAAGCCCATCACGTTCTTTGGCTTTGAAGCTTGTCGAACGATCGTAGGGGAACACACTTGGCTGATAGCAGACAGATGAATCGTCATTCTGCACAGTGAACAACGAGGCAACCACCAGGATTATAGGCAAATACAGTAGCTCGCCTGTAATAACAATTGTAAGCGCTGGTCTGAAGTTAGCATCGAGCAATCTACCCATCATCATCTCGATCGATAAACCTGCTGACTTTGCTTCGGCGGAACACCGAAACTGTGTCAACGTTAGAAAAGCTTTCTGGAACGGCTTTGTGGAAATTACTGAAAGCACCTTCGCTGACCTTCCCACATCAACCGACGTTCATACACTTGAGCATAATTTTCTCTCGTAAACCCGCACGAACTTTCCAGCTGAAGCGGCTGTCTGGGAAGTCCCCGCCTCAGGTATCTCAACACGGAGTTTCGGCACTTAGTAAACCTTCATAAGCGGAAGAATTGCGAGGCTCATCTGAAGACGTCCGACTTCACTTCTGGTGTAAGTAAGTGGTCTCTGAATCATTGGATGTCTATCTCTCGTTCCAACTACCAAACTTTGCTAGCATATTCAAAGCAGAAATACTGGAAATGAAAAGGGAATGTAAACTGTGAAAAGCATACATATTCTCACATAGCCGCTTCTGGCACTTGCCTCACCGGTAACAAATACCAAAACAGTCAGAGATTGCAAATGTACGTTAAGCTCGACGGCCGAGTTAATAAACACTTCCCTTATCTGGGCTCTCGGCCATTGGAACATACAAGGGCTGACGAGTTGGCTAAGGCCGGAGCATCTTTTGATGGATCCGAATCAGACACAATAAACTGTCCACTCGGTCTCATCAAAAGCGAACTACATTCGCAATTCACACGTATGGCTGACGCACGTTGGAACAACCTTCAAATCTGCAAACTTCGAAAAATATATGGCCGCATTATGACAGACCAAAGACAGAAGAACTTCTAAAGAGGTCGATGAAAGATGTAATCAAGTTAACAGCCAAGATAACGAGGCAATGGGCCGTACGCATAAAACCTAGCAGATCCTTTTTCTTAAAATTTCAGATCTATTACTCAATTAGTTCAAATTCATTTAAGTGAAAATTATGACATTTTAAGAAAAAGCAATTGATTAGTTTTTATGCATACGGCCCATTGACCCATTGGCGAACATGCAGCTAAAATGGACTTTCCGTACAACCCTCGGTGGCGTAGCTGAAACTTGAGGGAAGTAAGGAAACGATCCTAGACTATTTTCGCGAGTGCCGAGCATTGGCATGAAGGCATGACACACTCGGGAATTTTTCCATACAAAATCTTAGGGAGATCTTAAAATGCAATATTACTGGCGTAAATAGGTTCATCGCAAAATCCAAATGGTTTAACGAAACCGACAATCATAAAGGCAGAAAAAACAAGGATTCCAGAGAAAGCGTATCAAAATGG